AAGCAGGACCTTGAGGCCATTTATTCAGCCAAGCAGCTCTTCCACGCACTTGTGGTATTCTGCATAGTGGCCCTGGGGTCTGGGTGAAGCGCTTGGACCCGTCAAGTACTTAGACATGAAAGGATTGAACGACCATGCTCTCGTTCAGGAGCTGGATTTGAATCTAAGTCACCATAGCGGGTTATGGTCGGAATATGTATATACCTAGATACACAAACGCACATGAACTTGCATATACATGCTTCTGCCATATGCCATACCTTGTCATCATCATGAATTCCCTGGCAAGAGTCCGGAATGCCTAAGTACGTGCTTCATGTAGGGGCCTTAATGATAGAACTACGATTCAGGGGGGACAATATACTAAAGCAAACACCCTAAACCCTAAAGGAACCCTCAGGACTAGTACGAGTGATCATCTAGGCTTTCACACTGCTTGCATGTGCAGGATGCTCTGCAACATACCAGGCGAAGCTGCAAACGTCTACTAGTTACCTACAAGTGGTAACTATACTTATAATGAGTTATAATCCCGATTAAGGTACTTGTAACCATACTTAGTACGTCGCATGAGGCTGTAAGTAGGGGCCTGGGTAGGTGTCGACTTCAAGAGTCCCCAAAGCAACTAGGGCTCTAGATAAATCAAGAAGAGAAATCAAAACCATATCCTAAACCGATATCTATTCTGCTCTTCTTCAACACGAGATGAAGCAACACCGACCCTGACGTTTTCAGACGAAAATGTTTCATAACGAGACTCAGGCTTTGGGAAACAATACTACATTCATGATCGGAGTCCTAAAGAGACATACCTATACTGAACTTAGAACCCCAGCACAAATTATAATTTTAGCTGTTTCTTCGGGATTATAATGACCAAAAACAATTATCAATTCTAAGTACCCCTAAGATACTTGTAGAGAACTACCCAGGCCCCTGTGTTCTGGAAGCCTACTTCTGGTAACCCTATGTACCTGTTACCCAGACCCCCGGGAGGATCCAAAAAGTAGATCCCTTAATGGGGGTTCCTATAAAGTACCCTTGGTAGTAAACGGCACCAAATTTAGAAGATCTACTTTCCAGATCCTTCCGGGGGTCTGGGTAATGGATCTCTTCAAACTTGGCAATTGCTAACACGAATTTTCCAAAGCAGCAATATCGGTGCTATGACTTTACTTACTCCCTCAATAAGCCACGGAAATATGACGCTAAACTTTCCGATTCCTACTAAACTATAAGAGCCCAAAAAGTTTAAAGGTTGGGTATTGGGGATCTAAGTTTAGTAATGATAAGCAACCCCTTGAATTGTACTCCAAAGTGTTTCGACCACTTTGTCAATCAAATGCAGCTGCGATGCGTCAGCAGGAGCCTCAAAGAGAAAACACGATCAGGAGCAATCGAAGCCCTACTCAGGTGTTTGGGATACCGTAAACCCTAAACCCTTAGCCCTACTACCTAAACCCTAAACCCTAAATCCTGAACCCGACCCCTAAACCCTAAGCCCTACTGTAAGGGTCACGTACCCAGGTGTTCCGGAGATCGGGACCCGAAACACTAAACCCCAAACATTACGCTTCAGAGTTGGAGGGTTTTTGCTGTGGGGTCGAAGGTTCGGGGGGTTAGGATTTAGGTTTAGGGTCCAGGGTTGGGGGTTTAGGGTCTGCGGCTTCATGTGCCATTTAGTATATATGTCCTTCTGGCATTCAACTACCTGCATAGGAACCGCTGTACAGCCATCGCCTATACCACATGGGCACGTGGACACTTCGGGAATTCTGTTGGTTCGCTCCGTATTTCCCTGATCTTTATACAGGTTCTGAAAGATAGAAGATCTATCTGTCAAACTCTTTTTGGGGAGGGGGTGGGGGGGCTCGATTTTCCCAGTTTTTTGGGGTGCACAGGCCTGTAAACCGGTACAGCAGTCCCTCACATCGGGTTAACCCTAAACCCGAGCCGCCCAAACCCGAAAACCCTGAACTCCTCAACCCTAACCCCTCGAAACCATCCGAAACCCCTAAACCACCCCCCAAATCCCAAAATGATGGCCGCAAAGCCGAAGTCTGTGCGATTTTCAGCGTCACGGCACCGCGCATCTTCTTGGCAGGCATGTGGGTAGTTGTCAAAATTAGGGTCCCTTTTTAGGTACCTTAAATAGTAGATGCTGTAATATATTAAGGGACTCAAAAAAGGACCATAATTTGGACAGCCGCCCATGTTTTCGGGCAGCCTTGCCCCAGACGGGCACCCTCCTTCAACGATTGGAGCCATGGCTTGTCGCATTGCGTGCAGTTCTGCACGTTCACCAAGCGCTGCAGGAAAACCTTGCTGCGCAGGCGTCCATCTGCCGCCCTCTGGAACCCTGTCAAGGACCCTTAGAGCAACCCTTAAGGGAGCCCTCACAAAATCCTATTCGAAACCCTATAGGTCACAGAAACCGAGGTCCGTTAAGAGATCTTACTTCCCAGGGAACCCCTTCAAGGCATCCTACAGTTCCCTATGAAACTCTTACAAAATCCATCATCATCGGCCTAAACACAAAACCCTAAAACCCTAAATGCTAAACTCTTAAAGGGAACCCCGTTATAGAACCCTATAGTGCAGTAAAGGGGAGCGTGTTTAAGAACCCCATAGGACCCTAAAAGGAGCCCTGAAAGTCAACCTGCAGATGACAGAGCCCTACTATAGTACCCTTAGAAGAAGCCTTACAAACTCTACTCACGCGCCTGAACCTTCACACCCCTAAACCCACAAAGCCTTGGAGAATCCTTCAGGGTTAAGCCAGCATCAGCTCCCACAATAGTTTAAGGATTGGAGCTAAGCGTTTTTGGTTTAGGGGCTCCCATAAACCCTTATGGAATCCCATAGACCCCTACAAACCCTACAACCCTATTAAAACAACCTTCAAAGTCCCCTAAACTCCAACACGCTTGAAGCGACCCCGATTCCTTGCGAACTTTTTGAAAGGCTTGTTAGCTCCCCACGGTTCTTACAAGGGTATAGGGTTTAGGGTTTAGGGCCGTTTAGGGGTTTAGCGGTATATAATTAGGAAGGTCTGCAATATGGCTCACTTTAAGGGCTCCTTTAAGGGTCCTATGGGGTTCTATAATAAGGTACCCTTTCCTGGAACTGTAGGGTTCTAAAGCCCAAAAAAACGCCGAATCCGAGCTCCAGGCAGCAGCCTCCAACTTGGCCACCGCAGCCATGGCTGACGCCTCTCACGGGTTTTGGAGCGACGAGTCACGGTTCCTATAAGTTTTACCTTAACCCTCCCAAAGCCTGCCTTCTTAGGGTTCCTCATTATGACTTCTTTATATAAATCCTTACAATTAAAACGGTAGGATATTCAGGGCTTTACGGTTTTGGGGCTTAGGGGATAGTAGGGGATATGAAGCAGGTTGTGTAGGGAATAAAGACTACCAGGGTTACTAGAAGGGATAAGCCAAGGGTTCAGCTATACCCCCCCTAGAACCATAATAAAAACAAGATTTCTAACATTCGCCTGGGTTCTATAAGAACAAAAACAAAAATAACTCCTAAGGAGACTATAGTCAGGGGCCCGAGGCTTTTTGTAGGGCTGCTGCTGCTTGTCGAGGCTTCCACATCGCTCTCTACGCACACAAACCGTCGCTACGCCAAAACCGTACGTCGAAATCTCTTCGCCTAAACCCTTGCTTCACCCCAAAAAGGCTAAAGGTACCTACTCAGCGTCTGAGAACCTCTGCACTTCACACTGCCGCCTTGTTGGCGTTGCATGTGTCATAGAGCGTCTTGTTTGCCAGGCCCGTCCTCAAGACACATTCCCGGGCCCCCGGGAGCAAGCCCTCAGACCGTTCGAAAGTCAAAGGGGAAACGGAGGGACCCTTAGTGGGGACCCCTACCCTGTAATGGGCTATATAGGGTATATACCTGGGGATCCTCCTTTTACCCTTTGAGAAAGGGACCCCAACAGGGACATAAGCATAACCATGTCACCGGGATAGCTCTGCCTGCTCAGGCTTCATTATAGGCGACGTTATATGGGATATACCTATCCCAGGTCTTGCTCATGTGGTGTTTTGGGGCCCCATGATACGCATGCCTCGTCTCCGTAAGTCGGCGGGGTCCGAGGTACCCTGCAATAAGGAGTCATTCTAGGCTAGTTCATGGTTGGGGTAGTACTAAAGAACATTACCAATTTCCACAACTTGTCGGGTTTAAGTACCCACAAACATGTGAACGGTCATCCAACTACGACAAAGAACGGATCCGCTGTCAAACCGTGTGTCCCTACAATCCCAATCTGAACGTCTATGACCTACACCCCAATTAAGGTGGTATAATCACTCAGAAACTCAACTCTTGGCAATGTACATACATATATATATATATATATATATATGTATTTATGTATATATACATTTACACATGATTTGTTATGAAAACATGTATGTATGCACACGTATATCTGTACATTCTTTCTTGCTTCCAAGTCTGGCGACTCATCTGATGATTGCCTCCAGCCGAACTGCTAGCACCGACAGGATGAGGACGATCGGATCGCAAACAGAAAGGTGCATGTATGGGTTGTAGGTAGGTTTTGGAGTTTTAGGGCTTAGGGTTTACTATTTTGCTAGGTTAAGGAGTGAAGGTCTGTCTTTGGGGCTTCATGGCTTAGGGTTCAGAAGTGAGGGTATGTCTTGAGGGTTAGGGCTTTGGTTGCACGAGGTCTGAGAGCCCAGGCAGTTTAGTAAATTACAGGCACGCGATGGTTGAGGGTACGGTTTAGGGCGGATGGGTTAGGGTACGATTTAGGGTTTAGGGGTAATTAAGGATTGCGGTAAGTTCAACTCCAACACGTCGAAGAGCAATGAACACATCAAATCTCAGCAAAACCCAATTCCCTAAACTCTGAACCTTAAACCCTCAAGATGCATCCAAACCCTAAACCCTAAACCCTCAAACCCTAAACCCTAAAACCCTAAACCCTAAACCCTAAACGATAGTCTGCCAAGCAACTGGGCTGCGGCAGCTTCTTGAGAGAGGCTCTCCATCATGCCAGTGACCTTCAACGGGGGTTTAGGGTTTAGGGTTTAGGCTCCGGTTTAGGGTTTAGGGTTTAGGGGTGTCTGTTTTTGATCGTCTCATAACGAAATGAAGGGCCCAATCCTGAGTGAACCTGAAACCCGTGCACAAATGCTAGTAGTTCAAAATAACTGTCCGAAAATCGTCCATAGCTGGGATCTTCTTGTAGAGTCGTAGAGACCACTAGAGAAGTGTGTTCTCCATGGTCCTACCTCCAAAAAGACCGGTAGAACAAACCCTAAATGACAAACCTTACCCTGCAACACACGCACACACAAAAAAAGAAAAGAACCCTCAACTGTGAACTACTAGCTACCCCGGACCCTTCACCCCCCTTCCAAAAACAACACCGCCTTCCTCAGCCCCCCAGAACGTCCAAGAACATCGTTGTAGCAGCCTGGCAGAACCCTGAGCTGCTGAATCATGTTGAACCCTGTGCACTGGGTTCCTGAGTAGCCCCTTACCAATAAGGGTACCGTTTTTTCGTACTGCTCGGTTTTGATAAGGGGACTCTAGAATAAAATAAGGCAACAGGGTACTACTCAGGAACCTAGTAGACCCGAAATCCCCATAGATCCCTTATAGAACCCTGCAGGAAGCCTGAGGAACATGATGCATCAGATTCCCGACAAGTGGCAAGTCCCTTGATGGTGTTTACCGTCTCCACGATGCCACCTTCCGAGGGTGTGGTCAACGAAGGGCTTGGCTTTAGGGGTTGAGAGGTCCAGGGTGGGGGACAAGGAACTTGCTTAGAGGACCATGGGACTAGTAAGTAAGATAATTATAAGCATAGTTACCTTAGTTATAACACTAGTTACTAAGTCCGGTGACCCGTTAAGTGTTTAGATGGAAGCAGCATGTTGCGGGTCTGACATGGCTCTGGCCACAGGTGTCCTGACATCCGAGGAAAGTCTTAATGTCCTGTGCCCAAAGCCCTATACCCCAAACACCTAAACCGAGAACCCCTGAACCCCTTCACCCACAAGGCCCTAATCCGAAGCCCCTAATCCCTAAAACCCTACTTGGAGGGTAGTAAGTAGGTACGAAGTAGACTTATATGTACCCTAAAAGGGATCCTAATTGGGCTTAGGATACTTACAAGTCCTCAAAATAACTACTTACTACTTGGAGGGTCTGGTGGGGACTTGGTAAGTAGTTATTGTAGAGACTTATCAGTATCATAACCCCAATTAGGGTCCCTTTTACGGCACTTACAAGTCTACTTATAACCTACTTACGAAGTCCCCCGACCCTCCAATTAAGTCCCCTGACCCTCCAAGTAACTATACTGAACTTAGAACCCTAAGAAAAATATAATTTTAGCTGTTTCTTAAGGATTCTAATAACCAAAAATTAACAAATTATTTCATAATTTTGGCTGTTTCTTAAGATTCTACTAACCAAAATTAACATTTATTTCTAAGTACCCCTAAGGTAACCCTAAGCCCGAAGCCGAAGGTCTGCTAGCGGAGGAAGCGGATGGCGGTCCCGTCAAGTCCATGCCTTTTGGGGAAGCCTCGACTGCTTACAGGGTCATGGGACTTAGTAAATAGGGTTTAGGGGTTCCTTTAAAGGGTGCTGGAGGGTCTATAATAGAGTAGGGCTCCTTTTAAGGGTTTAGGGCTTGGGGTCTACATAAAGGGTCATGGGACTTAGTAACTACGGCTATCATTAACGTAGCTATACTTATGACTTCTTATAACCCCAATGAAGGTACTTCTAACCTGACTTACTAAGTCCCACGATCCTCCAAGTGGCCTTGTCCACCTTTCATGAGTACTGCAGAAGCCTTAACAATCAGAACAGAACTGGGTTTTGGGGGTTCGTTCTTAAATTTTTGGGGGGCTCCTTGTTAGACTTCTTGTAGAATATGATATGTGCCAAAGACGTATCCCAAGTATTGGGCCCCTACAATATTCTCCTTGATCGGGCCGACTTTGAGGGTATCGGCGCATGGCCCGTGTTCAGCAGGTCCCGCAGGTCGCAACCCTTCAGAGGCATCGCTGCTTTGACTATACCCCCCCCAGAACCATGACAAAAAATACTGGTTTTCTAGACCTAAGAGTAACCTGTGAATAAAAAGGATGCCCTTTTTGGCTTCAAGGGGGTTTATAATGGAACCTGAACCCTAAAAAGGGAATAAAGGCCTACTCTGGGTCCTAGTTGGGTTGCATATGAACAAAAATGCAAAATAATTCCTAAGGAAACTCAAGTTGACGGCTTCGTACCTCTGCCACGTCTGCCTCCAACCGTGCTTAGGGCTTAGGGTCGCTGCCCCCAGCCGTGCTAAGAACTGGGCTTTTAAGTAACAAGGGAGAAAAAAGTATAAACTTTTATTTCCTGATGGTTCCTGTAAGAAAAAAGGTATTAAAGTATGGTACTCCAAAGTCCAGAGAAGTCAATGAACGAGCTCCAGCGGAGCCGGCGATGCGACGGCTGACTGCACAAGACAAAGGACTCCTCCCCTAAACTCTAAACCCTAAACCCCGGGCGGATCTGGAAAGTAGATCCCCTAATTTGGGGTCCTATACTACTGAGGGTACTTTATACACCACCGGGCCGAAAGTTTCGACATGCAGCTATTATAACATAGATGTATGCCGCGGAGAGGCGGAGAGCCCCAAGACCCATTTTACGTGGCCAGCGTGGCGGAGTAATTACTTTCCGGGAATACACTTATACTATTATATAGTTTCCGGCGGAGAGCTTTGCGGGGTTGTGCTAGGATTCTACGGGGGAACAGGGGTGAACATGTGGTGATCTCTCAGCTTCATGTTGTATGGCGAACTTTCGTCCTGCGGTAGCGGGCAATTCGGGGCTTGCAGTCCAGCATTGCGGAAAGATAACGACATCCACTGCGTACTCCGTTCAGTGTTGCTAACGAATGCGACGAAACTTCAGTACCGGGCATGCATTGCCGTGACCCTTTTTTGCAGCAAATGACACTGCCTCACCCCGACCTTAAAGCCACATGTCCTGGCTTGGTTGGGAGGATCAGCCATGATTCCAGAATCAGCGGGCAATTCGGGGCTTGCAGTCCAGCAATGCGGAAAGATAGCGACATCCACTGCGTACTCCGTTCAGTGTTGCTAACGAATGCGACGAAACTTTAGTACCGGGCATGCATTGCCGTGACCCTTTTTTTCAGCAAATGACACTGCCTCACCCCGACCTTAAAGCCACATGTCCTGGCTTGGTTGGGAGGATCAGCCATGATTCCAGAATCAGCGGGCAATTCGGGGCTTGCAGTCCAGCAATGCGGAAAGATAACGACATCCACTGCGTACTCCGTTCAGTGTTTCTAACGAATGCGGCGAAACTTTAGTACCGGGCATGCATTGCCGTGACCCTTTTTTTCAGCAAATGACACTGCCTCACCCCGACCTTAAAGCCACATGTCCTGGCTTGGTTGGGAGGATCAGCCATGATTCCAGAATCAGCGGGCAATTCGGGGCTTGCAGTCCAGCATTGCGGAAAGATAACGACATCCACTGCGTACTCCGTTCAGTGTTGCTAACGAATGCGACGAAACTTTAGTACCGGGCATGCATTGCCGTGACCCTTTTTTTTCAGCAAATGACACTGCCTCACCCCGACCTTAAAGCCACATGTCCTGGCTTGGTTGGGAGGATCAGCCATGATTCCAGAATCAGCGGGCAATTCGGGGCTTGCAGTCCAGCAATGCGGAAAGATAACGACATCCACTGCGTACTCCGTTCAGTGTTTCTAACGAATGCGACGAAACTTTAGTACCAGGCATGCATTGCCGTGACCCTTTTTTTCAGCAAATGACACTGCCTCACCCCGACCTTAAAGCCACATGTCCTGGCTTGGTTGGGAGGATCAGCCATGATTCCAGAATCACCACCGGGCCGAAAGTTTCGACATGCAGCTATTATAACATAGATGTATGCCGCGGAGAGGCGGAGAGCCCCAAGACCCATTTTACGTGGCCAGCGTGGCGGAGTAATTACTTTCCGGGAATACACTTATACTATTATATAGTTTCCGGCGGAGAGCTTTGCGGGGTTGTGCTAGGATTCTACGGGGGAACAGAGGTGAACATGTGGTGATCTCTCAGCTTCATGTTGTATGGCGAACTTTCGTCCTGCGGTAGTAGGAACCCCCATTAAGGGATCTACTTTTTGGATCCTCCCGATGCCAAGTTCTTGTTTCGTGCGCTGACGCGAGACGGCTCCGTCCCGACTGTGATCAGCACATATCCAGATAGATAACTGAAATCGGAACCCTGAACCCTCATCTCCAGATAACCCCCCAAAAAAACCTAAACCCTAAACCCCAAACCCCAAATCCTAAACCCTAAACCCCAAACCCCAAACCTTAAACCCTAAACCCTAAACCCTAAACCCCAAACCCTAAACCCCAAACCCTAAACCCTAAACCCTAAACCCCTAAACCCCCAGCCTGTCTTGGAGAGGGACTGTGCCAATGTCGCCAAGGAGGAGATGTCCTTGGCATTGGCAGATCCGCGCTCGGAAGGATCTGGGGTTTAGGGTTTAGGGTTTAGGGTTTTAGGGTTTAGGGTTTAGGGTTTAGGGTTTGGGGTTTAGGGTTTAGGGTTTAGGGTTTAGGGTATGGGTGGGTGTCCAACTTAGGGCCTCTTTCTGAGTTCCCAAACTATACAGTGCCGTATCAAGAGCGTGACTCCACAACTTTCGTACCCGGACCCCGGCGAGGATCCAGAAAGTGAAAGTAGAACCCCCCCTCCCCCCATTCGCAGACCTATGCTATTCAATGACCATACTTAAACCCTAGAACCTGAAAATCAAGGTTACTTGACTTGGCTGACTTCTGAACCGCTCCTACTCTAGTTCATATAGAAGCCCAAAAAGTTACGTAAAGTCCTAAGAGCGCCAACCAAACGAACGCCAAGTTCAGAGGATCCTCTTGAAGGGGATCTGGGGGTTTCGAAAATAGGTCACTCTGATGTAGTACTGTACCCTAATCGTAGGATCCTGATTATAAGGAACCCAAATAAGGTACCCCTCATTTTCGGAATTTCCCAATCTAAGTTTCTGGATATCTTCCAATATCACTTATTATTTGAAGCTAACCCTAAACCCTAAACCCTAAAAGTTTCGGGATATCTTCCAACATCCCTCATTATTTGAAGCTATACCGGAGAAACTAAAGTAGGATCCCGAAGGCTTTAAGGTATACTTTAGAAGCTGCCCCCACCCTGTAATAGTGACTATAAGGATTATAATAGGGCCCTATTATATTCCTATTACAGGGTGGGGGCAGCTTCGGAGGTATACTCCTTAATCAGGGGATTTGGGAAGGTTTGGGGAAGTCCCGCAACACCCAGCCCCCTTGTAGTCACCCTAAAAAGGATCGCTTCAAAGAGACCTTTGAGGGATCACTTGCAAGGAGCCCTTCTAGGAACCCTTTATTTACAGGATCCCGACCCTCAACCCTACGCCCTAAACCCTTTAAAGGATCTCTACCCTAAGCCCTAAACCTAAACCCTTTCAAGGATCTCTCGCAACTTGGAGGAACATGGGACTTAGTAAGTAAGGTTATAAGTACCTTAAGTGGCGTTTTAGGGACTTATTAGTATAGCTTCATTATAGCCCTATAGTTACTAAGCCCCATAACCCTTAAAGAACCCGAGCCCAAGCACCCAGAGACTCCAATATCCCTTAACTACCCAGACCGGGAGGATCTAGAAAGTAGATCCCTAATTTGGGGCCCTATACCAGTAAGGGTACGTTGTAGGAACCCCCATTCAGGGATCTCCTTTTTGGATCCTCCCGCGGGGTCTGGGTAAGGAATATACCTTGAACTATAGTAGGATCCCTGACATGGTTTAAGGAATATCCCTCAAGTAGGAGGTGCTTTTAAAGCCTTTCAAAAATATTAATAGGTAAGATCCTTTTAAGCCCAATAAGGGCAAATATAAAATGTCCCAAAGCCCTGCCTAGTTAATTAAGGGATACTGTTGACGGAGAAAATCCTGCATGACCCTAAGGGCTCTAAACTCTGGGAATTATGGTATATTCCCTATAATGGGTAATGCAGGATTCTGTCCATCAACAGTATTGGAGACCCCGAGCACTTGGAGGGTCGGGAGACTTAGTAAGTAGGTAATAAGTAGACTTATAAGTACCCTAAAAGGGACCCTAATTGGGGTTATGGTACTTACAAGTCCCTAATATAACCAGTTACTAAGTCCCCCGACCCTCCAAGCATGCAGGCAAGAGTCGAATTCGTGAGAGTCGCCCTTCGCGTTGGCCGCGGCGGCAACGAGGCCGAGAAGGGCCTTACGAGCACAGGGTTTAGGGTTTAGGGTTTAGGGTTAGGGTTTAGGGTTTAGGGTTTAGGGTTTAGGGTTTAGGGTTTAGGGTTAGGGTTTAGGGTTAGGGTTTAGGGTTTAGGGTTTAGGGTTTAGGGTTAGGGTTTAGGGTTTAGGGGGGAGCCCTTTCACCTGTAAGCCTAGGGCTTAGGGTCTAGGGTTTACTTGTAGCCTAGGGTAATTACTATAACAGTATAATAGGGACTGTAGAGATATACCGGATACCCCGAAACCGACGAGTCCCCGAAACCGACGAGCCGACAAGTTTACGGGTTTAGGGCCCTGGGAGGATACAAAAAGTAGAACCCCCTGCTTTCATAGGGATCCTTAGGGGTGTAGGGGGGAGGGGGGGGTAGGGGGCCTTAAGGCCCATAATAAGGACTAATAAGGCCTATTTAAGGAAATATAGTCCCCTACACCCCTCCCCCCTACACCCCTAAGGATCCCTATGATGCTTGGGACCTCCAGATTTGTGGGTCCTCAAACCACACCATGAAGCTAAACCACAATACAGCATACTAGACCTAAGAGTAACCTAGGAATAAAAAGGGTGCCCTTTTTGGTTTAAATGGGGTTATAAGAGACAACCTAAACCGCCAAAAAGGGAATAAGGGCCTACTCTAGGTCCTAGGCATACGAGTCCCAGGCACTGGTGAGTTTTGGGAATGACAAGGCTTCAGGATGCTTCCCTAAACCCTCAACGATTTAGGATGCTTCTGAGACTGGTGAGGGGTTCGGAGTTGCAGGATGTGTTTCTGCGACTGTGCGTGCGGGTGCGGTTTTAACCGAGAAGGCAATTTCTAGACCCTAATCCGAAAACCCATACTTAGGTGCCGAGTTCACAAGCCAAAAAAAGTTTAAACTTTCAGTTTTAAGAGGGTTTCATTATCCCAAAAAGTTTAAAGTTCATAAACTCAGCTACTAAGCATACTTCCGATACCATAGACATCAACCCGAAGACCCCAACGCCTTTACTAACTACTGAATCCTAGGCCGAAAACCCCAAGATAGAATAACCACCGACATTCTGACCCCTACACTAATCCCTAGTACCCAGACCATGAAAAATGGACAGCATTAAACAAAAACAAAACCAAGAAGGTGTTCCCCGAGACACGAAACTCCTCCGAAGGTACCTAGGAGTTGTACCTTGAGGGTTCCATTGCTGACATCCGTTACCCAGAGACTCCAATATCCCTTAATTAAGGAATATACCTCAGAAATTATTGTAGGATCGCTAATATGATTTGCAGAATATTCCGCAATCAACCCTAAACCCTAAACCCTTAACCCAAAACCCTAAACCCTAAACCGTGGGAGTCTTTGGGTGTGAGGCTCCCTCACAGCCTCAAGCCCTAAACCCCCGTGTATCCATCATTGTGGTACCCTTGCAGGAGCTTTAGCTTTTTATCATGTCGCAGACCCAACGCAAGTATGGGGGTTTCCGATTATTGCGGACCCGAGGATAGCACCCTAAATAACAGGATCTTGATTTTCAAGGACCCCAGAAAAGGTGCCCCTATTTTCGGAAACTCCCGTATAAGTCCTGAGAGCCTTAAGGGTCTTTAGATCCTCCCAGGGGAGGGGGTCTCAGTATAGACATGTTGCAATGAAGCCTAACTTACAATAGTGTGATCCCTCGGGATCTGACAAGTTCGAGGGTCCAGGACTTAGTATTATATGTAATTACCTTAATTGGAGTTAACAGTACTTCCAAATATACTTCCATTCGCCTGTTGCGGAGCGGCAGCATCGCTGGCGAGGGATGCGCGAAGGTGGCCTGTGTGTTTAGGGCTTTGGGTGGTTTGGGTTTAGGTTTTAGAGCTTTAGGGTTTCAGGGTTCTAGGATTTCGGATTTAGGGTTTAGGGTTCAGGGCCGTTCAGGGTTGGGGGGGTTTAGGGTTTTGGGAGCTAGGTTGCTTAGGGTTATGCGTTGTGCGCGACGGGTCATAGAGTTTTGATCATGGTCATACGTGGCCTAGGTCTTTAGGTTTAAGGTTTGTGGGCTTAGTGGGCTTAGGGCTTGGGTCTAATATGCGCTATGACTCCCTAGAAATCCTACGCCCTACACTTTTAAGCACTATCACGTGAAGTTTCTTTGCAAGACCCCATCAACACATCAGCAAAACTGCAAACCACCAACACGGTTAATCTGGGGGCCTTGAGAATCAGAACTGAAGCCTATGACACTATAGCCACATTGGCGCCAAAAGAGTGCAATACGGTTGATGATATAAATCCTGCATGACCTTAAGGACCCTAAACTATGGGAATTATGGTATATTCCTCATTATGGGTTATGCAGGATTTATATCATCAACAGTATAGCCACATTGGCGCCAAAAGAGTGCAATATCAAACTAAGTTACACTCATCGTAGCCATACCCAGACAGTGCTTCACGGGAACAGAAAGTACCGAACCCAGACTCCTGTATGGCCTAGGGATGTAATGTTCTTTGGGGGGCTGTAACCCTAAAGCCTAAGCTCTGGACCCTAAGCCCTAGACTTCACCTCAACCCTAAACCTGACCCTAAAACCCGAAGCCCCTAAACCCTCTAAAGCCCTAAACCCTGAAAACCTGGAAAAGCATTGCTTTCTGCGCCTGCTGTAGACTTGGCGGCAGCTGTGGCCCCGAAGAGGGCAATAAGGCAGCTGAGGGCCTTAGCAGCAGAGTGTTTAGAGGGTTCAGGGTTTAGAGGGTCTGGGGCTTAGAGGGTTGAGGGTCTAGGGTTTAGAGGGTCTGGTGTTTAGAGGGTTCAGGGTTTAGGGTTTAGAGGGTTTGGGGCTTAGAGGGTTCAGGGTTTAGGGTTTAGAGGGTTTGGGGCTTAGAGGGTTCAGGGTTTAGGGTTTAGAGGGTTTGGGGTTTAGAGGGTTCAGGGTTTAGGGTTTAGAGGGTTTGGTGTTTAGAGGGTTTAGGGTTTAGGGTTTAGAGGGTTTGGTGTTTAGAGGGTTTAGGGTTCAAAGTGGAGGGTTTAGGGAAGAAGAGAAGCCTCCCACACAAGTACTCAGACCCTTAAAGGAGACTACTTAAAGGGTCATGGGACTTAGTAAATAGGGTTATAAGTACCCTAATTGGGGTTATAAGTAATTATAAGTATACAGTGAAAATACTGTATAAGAACCCACTGTTTAAGAACCTGAGCCCCTGCCCAAGGCGGAATTCACCAGATTCAAGTTGCCTCAATATTAAGAACCTTAGGGTACCCTAGTTTTCGGGTCAGGTTCTTAATTTTTTGGGTGCTTTCCCTCACCAAGGAAATTTAGAATCGAAAACTAAAATTTCCCAACCCTCCACATCAAGAAATCTTGTGCCTAAACATGGTGATTGTATTATCGATGGGCAACAGCAATCATGCCACAGCGCGGTGGTTGTGCATGGGTTCTGGAGGCAAAGGTACGTGTTTCAATCCCCGAGGGTGTCAGAATTGTAAAATTTAGAATTGAATTCTAAATTTCCCAGGCCGAGCCCCTTGCCACCAAACTGTGGAAATTTAGAATTGAAATCTAAATTTTCCCACCAGCGTCCTGGTCCCGGCCCAAGCCACACCCATGGCCCATCCGCCCCCACGGAAATTTAGAATCCAAAAGTAAATTTTCGGGGGGTCTCTGGCCATGCCCTCTGCCCTGAGTCCTTTCGAGGAGCTGTGGAAATTTAGAATTGAGAACTAAATTTTCCAGACCCCCATGGCCCATCCACCCCCACGGAAATTTAGAATCCAAAAGTAAATTTTCTGGGGGGTCTCTGGCCATGCCCTCTGCCCCGAGTCCTTTCGAGGAGCTGTGGAAATTTAGAATTGAAAACTAAATTTTCCAGACCCCCCATGGCCCATCCACCCCCAAGAGGAAATTTAGAATCCAAAAATAAAATTTCCCGAGACCTCGGTCCGGATAAGAACGTGGTTAAGAACCTGAGCCTACCCTAGCTGCTCGAACGGCAAAATCACATGTAATGGAAATTAAGAACCTTAGGGTACCCTACTCTCGCCGAACGGGGTTCTTATACAGGGTTTTCACTGTAGTTACTAAGTCCCATGATCCTTTAAGTATGCTCATACCGCCTTATGTACTCTAGCTTAGACTGTTTGTTGCGACTCTGTCAACGAGTAAGGCACCCTGCAATCACCCAAAGAATAAAGGATCGAAAAGCTGTAATCACCAAAAAGATATTTAACTGCCAATATTGTTTTTGAGATATTTACAGTGATTACTGTTGAATAACATATTCTTTGCGATGGTTGTGAAGGTTTGGGTGTAAATAACAAAAGTAGCGGATAATCTGAAACAAACAAAACCCCAACAGGTATCCTACTGTGTTATGGCTTAAGTTACTTATGGGCCTAGGCCCCAAACCCAAAAAGTGTTAACCATTTCATGTGTGCTAGGATTAGAGAAACCCCAAGAGGCTAAAACTTACTTGGAGGGTCGGGGGACTTAGCAAGTAAGTTATAAGTAGACTTATAGGTGCCTTAAAAGAGACCCTAATTGGGGTTATGGTACTTATAAACCTCTAAAATAAACTACTTACTATAAGTCCCCCAACCCTCCAAGTACCTACTCAGCTACTGAGGATCAGCAGGAACCTGCGCTTTCATAGAACCCAGTGGTCTCAATATCTCGCAAGTAGAGACCCAGCATCACCTTCCCTTCCTTCGGGGGGCTGCGTATCCTAGCCCAAGAAGGAAGGTTAACCTTTTGAGCATGTGGTAGGATTAAGGTTACCGACTCAGCTACAGTACTAAGGTTCCCAGACCCTTGGAGGATTGAAAACCGAACTCCGAAAGAACCAGTCTATCTTAGGCCATATTGATAGGATGCTATATAGGATGCCCTTGCGGGTTCTATGTGTTGGCTCCTTTATGGGGTCTGGGCTGGGGTGGTGACAGGCATCCTGCCATAGTAGCGGGAGTCGCAGTAAAATAAAATGGTGGGGTGAATCCTTACGTAGAGCAACAAGTAAGGAAACCTTCAAGTACATCAGTGCATGACAGTGGAAACAGGCTACTTACTTTCTTCCGCCCTCCCTGCAGCTTCATGCGAGGTCCAATTTGGGAACTTGAAGCGTGCTCGGGTTTATAGCTCTTGGGGGCTCTAGATGTACTTTAAACTCTCAGCCTCAGCATCGACCAACAGCCGTAAATCATATGGCTCCGGTGTCCAAAAGCCTCAAAACTATACTAGACCCTAAACCCTAAACCCTAAACCCTAAACCCTGAACCCTGAACCCTAAAAAAGGGAATAAGGGCCTACTCTGGGTCCTAGCTATAAGTCCTTAGAGCCTTGGGGGGTTCGGTTTGAGAGGTGTGGATCCTATCAGGCGGTTCATTTTGCAATAGCGAGCAACTCGCCCAACTCCAAACCCTTCCCTAAACTAATCCCAAACTCTGAACCCGAACCTCTGGGAGGATCTAGAAGCTCGATCCGCTACCTAATGGATTCTAAAGTACCCGTTGTAGCACAAGATCCCAGAAAAGGGTCTCTACCTTCTAGATCCTCCTTGCTACTATTTGCTTAAGAAACCACCAAAAAATAAAAATAATAATCCCTAGATTACCCCCAGAAGGAATATATTTTTTTTGGTGTTCTTAAGCAAATAGTAGCTTGGGTCTGTGGGTCTGGGAAGCCGAAACTGAATGCCCAAAGCCCTGAACCCTACACCCCTAACCCAGACCCCGGTCGGATCCAAGAAGTGGATCCCTTAATGGAGGTTCCGATATAGTACCCTTAGTAGTATAGGGCCCCAAATTAAGGGATCTACTTTCTAGATCCTCCAAGCTGTAGGAGGCAAGGCGCAAACTTCATTTCGAACAGGGCCGGTGAGAAAGCACACTTCGGCCGGACTGGAGCCACGAGTGGCTGCAGGAAAGAAGGGTTCGGTTTGGGCTCAGGGCTTCGGGTTTGGGGTTCTTTTTTTTTTTTTTTGGGAGGGGGGTGGGGTCAGGGTTCAGGGTTCAGGGTTTAGGGTGCTAAAGCCCAGATGTTGTGTTCAGAAGTTGTGGGCTTGTCTGGTTTCATGCCTTCGGGGTGTTGGCTATGTTACCATCTCACGGATCATTCAGACAAGACCCTAAACCCTAAACCCTAAACCCTAAACCGTTTTTCGTGGGAACCGGGCTTACGGTTTAGGGCAATGGACCAAATGCTTGAAGGATTAGGGTGGTTTCGTAGATAGGGCGAAATCCGTGCGGTACCTGGGCACACCCTGCCGCTGACAATATTTTTCATAAATGAACTTCCTAATCCCTGGGAAATTTGAAAATCCAGAACCCTTAAGCCACGGCTTATCTTAAGCCATATTACACTTGTTTCGGTGGTGTTTCCATGTAAGTTGCCTGCTCTGTCAAGCTGGAGGCTTCCACACAGCCCCCCTTGATGCACGGATTAGGAGTAACCTGGCTTTGCCTAGACCCTCCGGAGGATCTGGAAACTGAAACCCCTATACTACTACATAAAGGCCACCTTACAGGAGCCCCCTCAATTGGGGACCCAAGAAGCACATAAGCATAAACATTTTATGGGGATATCCTTACCTTATTGGGCATCACTATAAGCAGGATTATATGGGATACCCCTAACTTAATTTTTGCTTATGTGTTTTTTTGAGGCCCTACTCAAGGGATCTACGTTTTGGAACCTTCCGGCGGTCTGGGTCGGCAGGGCTTTGAGGAAAGATGCTTGCACTGCTATCTAGATCTTCTGGGGTACTCTGGGTTACAGCCCTGCAGCCTAAACCCTGACGCCTGAGCCCCCAGCCTAAACCTAAAACGCTTCAACTACAGAAAAACTGATCCCCCCAAACCCAAGGAACTTGGAACATCAGTAGCCCCATGCCCTTAAAGTATAGGGAATCCCAGTATGAATCATCCTAAATCCATGTTCCAACTTTCTGGGGTTCACTATCTAGACCTAAGAGTAACCTAGGAATAAAAAGGGTGCCCTTTTTCGTTTCAAGGGGGTTCTAATGGAACCTGAACCCTAAAAAATGGAATAAGGGCCTACTCTGGGTCCTAGCTATAATGCCTCGATGTACAGAAGCTCAGATGATCGGTAACATTACTCCGTTTATAGTGTCACGAGCACAGTTTTTTCTGCAATGTGCCACAGATACCTTTTGCGATTATTACTGAGGGCATTATATCATGGATTCCTTGTCGAACCCTCAAAGTAGCCCTCGTAGAACACTTCCAAGGCAAACTGTTGAAAATCTCGAAGGCCCCCGCAGCCTGAAGCCCAATAGACCGATGCCCGGCAGGTTTTGCCCAGAATGCTCTCAGCTCGGACTGTCTGTGGTCGCCGAAGCCGCCCGGACGTCTGCGGATTTCTGGCCGAGAAAAGTGCACGAGAGAGCTCTCTCCTACCCCCGAACGATCTATCAAATCCACCCGCCCCCCCCCCCCCACCCCACCCCCTAGCAGGGTACCTCTCTCTCTCTCTCTCTCTCTCTCTCTCTCTCTCTCTCTCTCTCTCTATATATATATATATTTATTTATATTTATATATATATATATATATATTTATATTTATATTTATATATATAGACAGAGTTAGTAAGTATAATATAGATACACTGATATGTGAACAAAGCATGGCACTGATGACTGTTGGTCGGAGGTCAGGTTTCGTCATACACGGTGTGCTTTTGAGGTTTGCGTGCAGGCTAACA